GCCGAGCTGGGCTTTCCTGCACTCAGTGGGCAGTAAGAACCCAGTCCCTGCAGGGTGCTATCCCCTGTCTTTTCTCTCCTGTCCTCTCCTTTCGGGTCTCCTGGGGTTGGGGGCTGAGGGTTAGAATGATGTGATTTGGAGATCAAGTGGGAGAGAGTCTCACTGCCTTTCGGTCCAGTCTAATCCAAAAGAATTTGAGGCTGAAGAGAAAAAGTGTGTGCCCCTCTCATTAAACCTGTCAAGTTCACTCTTATCCTCTGATCCAGCCTCTGGAAGACATGTGGCCAAGCAAGGCTGGCCACGGCTAAAGGCCACGCAGGCCCTGCTTCGCTCTCCAGAGCCCCATGCCCGCCCGACTTGCCACAAGCCCGTGTCCTGCTCGCCAAGCTCACCTGGTGATCACGTAGGGTGCGAAGCACACGAGGAAGGTGCCTATGAAGCTGCTGATCTTCTTGGTGGCGCGTTGCCGCCGCCTCTTCTGCTCCTCTAGACAGCGTTCCCGCACACTGCGTGTGAGAGAGGAAAAAGTGGGGTCATGGTCAGGTGAGTCATGGGGGGGGCCTGCCAGGTCACAGCGAGTTACTATTTGTACACGCAGGCAGTGGCCGCGAGTGTAGGAACTTGACCATGGAGCCAGAAAGACCTGAGCTCAAGTCTGAGCTGTAGGCACGTGACCTTGGGCACCTTGTGCGACATCACTAAGGGTCATCATCTGTAAAATGTGTATAGTAATATAATAAGATGACGCAAAGGGCTGCTTTGAGAATTAAATGCATGAAGCACATCAAGCAATTAGCACAGTACCCAAGCAAGTGCAAATATAAACTCATTATTAGTACTCATAGCCTTCACTTATCATGTGCTATGGGCCAGCCCGAGTCCACACTCCGTAAGTAATATCTCTAATTCTTATCTTTACCACAATTGAACCTGCCAGGTGGATTTTACCTGCCCTGTTTTACAATGAAGACCATGAGTACAGTGAGGCCAAATGATTTGCTCAGCTGGTAAGTGGAGGCGGGATTTGAACCTGTGTCCTGAGAGCTGGTCCTCTCCAGCTGGGATGGCCTGGACTCTGTGTGCAGTGTGGCCCAGGGCTTCCTTTCCTCCACACCTTCAGCCCCTGTTTCTTCCATCCCAAAGCCTCAGCCCTGCCCGGAGCTACAGGTAACGCACTATGAGGTGATCGAAGGAGAAGTCACTTGATTTGTTCAGAGACGAAGCTCGGTGAAGCTACGGGACGGCCAGGTTCCTGGAGAATCGGGGCCACAGCTCCGCGGATGGCCACCTACGCCTCTAACCACACCCTGTTCCTGACTCCACTCTGCTCCCGGCCTTTCGAGAACTGACATCTCACGCCACCTGGGAGCAGTGGTTCTTGCAACCCTTTTCCTGCAGCCATGGGGAAATGCACAAGCAACAGCCAGTCTGTCCATTTCCAGAGCCAAGGCGCACGCACGTAAAGGCGAGCCCAGCCGTAAGGATTCACATGCTCCAGACCATGGGGCCCAACGTGGGCATGTGTTTCTACTGTTTACTTTTGAAATAAATCATATGATTCCAAAACTGGACGGGGAGGAGGACTGTGGACAGAGTTGCCCAGGAGTGACGATAACTTGGCAGAGATAGGCTTGGGCTGCAGTGACCTGGCACCGCAATTAGGTCAGTCTGTTCAAAAGAAGCAAGGAGTGGAGAGAATATTCCTGAGCCAGGTCCGTGAGCAGCATGAATGCCAGGGCAGCCTCCCCTTCCTTCCACAAGAACTGTCATTTTAATACTTAATCGAGACTCTTCTTTATCTGATTTCTGATCACAGAGGGACAATGCTATGTTAGTTTGGACTGAAGCCGCCTGAAATTCTTGCAGGATGTTTTTTTTTCCCTTGGCTTGTGTCTTTCCAGGAATTTAGAGAGTTGGGAACTGGAGTCTGGCCCAGTATAGACAGATTTCATACTGGCTGAAATTGTCTTGCTCATGACTAACATTATGAATTAATTTCTAATAGCTGATATTAATAACTCACATTTCTTGAGTCTTAAATATGTGCCATCTTAGATACTGTGATGGGGGTTCATATGCATTTGTTGCTTGACACTCACATCTCTATAAGCAAAGGGCTGATACAATTGCAATCTTCATGTTTTCAGATAAGGAGGGAGATTGAGGCACAGAGGGGTTGAGTAAGTTGCTCAGGATCACACAGTGATCTGGTGAGGGGTGGCAGTAGGTGACCAACTTGTCCCGGATAACCAGCACTGTCCCAGTTTTGGCACTAAAAGTCCTGCAGCCTGGATGGTTTACACAGGACCGTCCTGGTTTTAAAAACAGAAGGGCCTGCGTCTGAGGATCCCCCCTCCATCTCGGGCAACCCAGGATGGCTGGTCTCCCTAAGTGATGGCAGTAGCTGAATCCAGACCATCTGACTCTGGAGCCTTGAGTGTCATCTGTCAATTCACTGGGGTCATTACACATCCCTGGGGAGGCACTGGGGCATCACCTCATTCAGAAAATCTGAAACATACAAGCCGAGGGGGCGGGGACAGAGGGGCGACTTTGCCTAGAGCCACACAGCAAGAGTCAGTCTGAAGCCTCCTCCCTTTCCATTTACACTGGGTGTCTGCAGTGTCCTCCCCCAAAGTCCTGTGGCTCTTGTGACATACGCACAACACAGGTGGCATGGAGAGAAGGCAGAGGTCCCCACCCTGGAGGTCTGTGTTCAGTGAGGTGACCAATTCATCTTGGTTTGCCTGAGACTGTTTTGGTTTTCAAACTCGAAGTCCCACATCCTGGGAGCCCTTGCAGTCCCAGGAAAATCAGGACAATGGTCAACCTAGCAGCGTGTTTGGCACATTCTCCATGACACAGGACTGCTTGTTTAATATTAAAATACTTTCCCCAAAACTCTCAGTGCAATCCATGTAGGAATTGCTGGAGATTTGGGGCATGAGCTGGGTGTCCTGAGGCATCATGGTACACTCACCCCGCGAGAGGAGTACAGCATTCTGGGCATCTCCTTGAAAATGAGCACCAAAGTCATCGTAAATGAATCAAGGGGACACGAGAGAAACTGGTGGTGCACTGGGGCCGGGCCCTCCTCCAGTCTGTGGCCCAGACCATGTTATCCATTTCCCAGACATTTAGAATAACCCTGAGGACTGAACAAGTGCTGGCTATGTGTCCTAGTCCCAGCTGTGCCCTCATAGCTGTGTGGTCTCAAGGAAGTCACTCAACCTCTCTGAATTCGGCTCCTCACTTATCTGTGGAAGATTTCATAGTTATGACTATAACTAGAGCTACCATTTATCAGGGACTGAAGTGACTCACCAGCTACTAATCTCTTAAGGAATGAGGGGCTTCCTCTGCCCTCCCCGGCCCCTGCCCTCAAGAAGGGACTTGGGTTCCTGCGGAGGGTCTGAGGACTCAGCTGTCTCCCCAGGAGAAGCAGCCCTCCACCCTGCCACACCAGACAATCCTGCCCCAAAGCCCTGAGGAATATTTAAAGACAGATGTTGGTTAAAGCTTTGAACGTCTTCAGAAGGATAAACAGAAACATTTCAGTGACGCTACAGGAATAAAACGGACGCTTTAGAGGCTAGAATAATCAATGTCACCCTTCTACGCTGTAGAGTCCTATAGGAAATTAATCTTATTTGTTCCTGCAAAGCTTTGTACAGGAGAGAAGGATTAAATAGCAAGCACTCTGTACGCACGTTCCTTCTTTGGGTTCCCGCAGTACAAAGCTCAACATCTTACACCCAGAAAACACCTAATGAGTGTATGTCTTTGAATCAATGAACAACCCTTAAAAACATCTTAGGAAAATTGAGACTCAATCATTTTTAAGTGAGTTTCTCAAAAGAGATGATAGTAGAAATCTGCTCTAGAATAGATCTTTTAAAGTGAGACTTAAAAATCTTGAGTTTTTCAGACAAAGCAAGACTCGTCAGTGGCTGTCAGGCCATGCACACTTCCATGAGTCCTGTCTGGTTGACAGTGAAGTGGGTAAGCATGCGAGCAGTGCCAGAGCCAGATCTCTGGGTTCAAATCCAGACCTCCCTACTTACTTGTTGTATGGCCTTAGGCAAGTTACCCAACCTCTCTGTGCATCAGCTTCCCCATCTCTAAAATGAGGATGATACGAGTACCTAACTGGTAGGGTTCTGTTGAGATTAACTGAGTCAACACCCAGAAAGTACCTAGGACAGTGCCTGACTCAGAGTAAGCACTTAAGTGCAGATGCTAATTATTATTCATTCGGCATCTATTTATAAAACAACGACTATGTTCCAGCGCTACCTTGAACCCCCAAACCACTGGGATCCCTCCCACGGCAAAAATTCTCTTGCTGCATTTACAAGGGTAGCTGGGAGAGACAGAGAGAGAGAGAGAGAGAGAGAGAGTGAGAGAGAGAGAGAGAGAGAGAGAGAGAGAGAGAGAGAG